GGGTTTTGGGGAGGTTGAGTGCATAGTGGGGGGCAGCACAACACAAGGGGGGAGGGGGGAAGCGCTGCTTTTCAATGCGAGATGATCCTTCCCCGGTGTCGAGGGTCCTCAGATGGCGCTCACCTTGTTGGCCTCTGTCCACTCGGTCTCGCGCTCCCGCAGGTCAAATGTCAGGTTCCAAGGTGCCGCCGCACGCCCCGTGACGCCGCCATCAGCTGCGCCCGCAGCGGGAGCGCTTGGCCGCACCCGGCGCCGCCGCACTTGTCGTCGCCATGCTGAGGGGACCTTGCAGCTACGGCAACAACGCACGGTATGCTGCAGAATTGGCTGTGCTAGGCTTGCGAAGTGCGCCATCGGTGATTGCCTGCGTGTGTCGGGAGCCCGAGGGTTCAACGCTGTATCAATGACAGAGACTTCGATCTTTTGCGAAGTGCCTCAAAAACTCGTTTGCAGAGGTGCTAGGCAGAGCTTCACAAAACAAGCACGCCGCGTGCGCGCTGGTCAGCAGCGTCCTCGTCGTGCTGGTTGTGTCCCTTGGTGTTGTCTGTGCTGCGGCATACCGTAGTGGCAAGAGCCCTCACAGGCGTTCGACTCGTTCAAGAGCTTGCGTGCGCTGAGGCGCAGCCTCATGTGTACATTGCTTGTGCATGCGAATTCCCCCACGGGCACTGAGCTGTCCTACCCTCACTCAGTCGACACATCCCAGCTCAACCCCCAGGTGTCAACTTTTAGGTTTGACATGACATCGGATCAGTACCACGCCGTTGCAAAGCAAAGCAAGTTACATTCAAACACTGAGAAAACGCGCCGCCCCCCCAGATCACAACACCGCCATCCCCGAGCTCAGCGGCTCCCACGCCATCCGCCGCTGCTCATGCTGACACCTGCGGCCCACCCACCCTCGTCCGACATCCCCAACCACTCGCCCACGGCGCCCGCGGGGCTCAGGGGCTCGGGGTGTCACGGCGCCGGTGGCGGCGCGGCGAGCGCGAGCGGCTGCGCGAGCGGCGCCTCTCTGCGGCCTTGGGCTCCTCCTCCCTGGCCGGAGGCGGGCTCCTCTCGGCCCTGTGACGGGCGGGCACGAGAACGGGGG